ATTACTAATATTTTTTGAAGTTTAACACACTGTATCTTTTTAACGAAGTATCCCAGATAAAAACTTTATAGGAAATACTCCCCTTAAATTTCACCAAAGAACACGAGGTTTTATTTGTGACCACAATTTGTGAATCACCCTGTATCATCCATCTGACTTAATACCTTCCTTCAAGATTCAAATGAAGTGAACAAATTTTGCCAAAATCACAAGACTGATTGGTTTGTATTTTTAAGATCTTTTTTTTTGTTCTATTTTACGTTTAATTATTTTTGAACTACATAATAATGACCATTATAATAATGCACATTTTTTCTTCAGAATTTGACGCCCCCACATTGCACAATAACCATTATTTAATAAATTAATATCTAAAGTTTTTTCCAATCAACAGAAAATCCAGTTGCATTAAGACCAGCTAGATTACCAGATTTAATACCATTGTAGCTCTGACAAATACAATTTTCTCCCGAAACTGTTATAAATCATCAAATTTTTTATTTTGTTTAAACATTATTTTGCCTCTCCCTTAATACGAAATAGTATTAATGTTAGAAAAATATGTTTTGAAGGAACAATTCAATTGTTTTTGTGGTACATTTTTTTAAAAATCCCTGCAACTTTTTAGTGAGTCCGTTTTTCCATATCTTGAACAATGACAGAGAAAAACGGTGCAACCTGGTCAATAAATGCATTTGCGCAATTGAATTTTACAATGGACGGTAACTGAACACGAGTCGACGCAGGTAATCGTTCTCTTAAATCTACGAACGTACTATACCATGTAACTTTGTGCTAAAAGACGCCATTCCTGGATCGCTTCGTTAAAAAGTGTCGCCGTCCGCTTAACTGGAACAATTGAAATGCTTCCCAACTAAAAAATTAAACAGGAGATTCAGCACAGCGCAGAGTTTCAAATTGGCGGAGCGTAAAACCGGAAGTGGCGTGCAATTAATCCAAATAATAGACGGAACAATGGTAGGGGGGAGTTGAGTTAATACCTTCGAGCCGCCACTCCATTGGCCAGCCCTGATGTGCAATTGTTCTCTTTCCCGGCCGCGGTATGTAACAAAATAAAAGAATAGTCTGGATTTTACACCACTGCCAGCCACTGCTAATGAGTGTGTATGTGAAACGTCCTCATTAAAACATGGTGAGTAATTTTTTATACAATCGTTTATTCTAAATTTAGTTGCTCCAGTCATGATGACGGATGCGGATTAATATTTATTTGATGAAATATATATTAAAGTTGCAAAAATCCTGCTCGTACCGACTTAAGTTTTGTAGTTGGAGGAAATGAGAAATTTTCAAAATAAAAAAATGTGTTTAAGACTTTTACATTGATCGCCATACTGACACCATTGCATTGTTTTGACCAAACAAAATATTACATCTTCTATTCACCACAAAAAATATTTTAATGTTAGATATGTAACCGTTATAGACTAGGCGGTATCTGTTTTGGTTTGGGTGAATTATCCACGGAGATTTTTGGCTTTTTGGCTTTCAAATATCACTAGAAATTAAAATTTTTCTATGCCCATAAACAAAAAACGTGGGCTTAACTTTTGGCGGCACAATATGTTCAAAAAATTCGAAAAATGTCATACTTTTCTTCCTATTTAATTATGTATCTCTTCAAGAGTTGATTTTAGGCGAAAATGGAAGAGGAAAAAAATGTTATTATTATAAAAATCGAAAAAATCGCCAAAAATGGGGTTAAATCACATTACTTTTTAGGGAATTTTTTTGAGGTCTTTAAATTGGGTACCGGACCTTCTTACTTGGCTCAAGAAAACTTCATGTTATGTAGAATCATCGCACCAAATTTCATCAAAATCGGTAAGATAGATTTTGCAATCCAGATTTTCAAAAAAAAATTGCAAATTTTCAAAATTTTGCACAGCAAAAACCAAGTCCCTTAGATATTTGAAATTTAAAACTCACCGCTTCATTCAACAAAAACAGAAAAGAAGATCAATCAATATTTATTCACATCGATGAGTCATAGTCGAAGCCAGACGTAAATCTTGTTATAGTCATCAAGGGAGGCAGGGGTTGATGGTTTTTAAATTGTTTACCCATATTTTCACTGATTTTTAACTATTACTTATTACTGTTACGTTTCAGGTCTTTCTAAAGACCTGAATCATAATGCAAATTATCCAGAAAAGGGGAAGCTATAGTATTATCCAAGTAGACATTCATAGTTTAGCTATCGCTTCAACTTTTGGGGAAGAAAACTCGTTCTCTCTTACATTTCACATGAGTCATATTTTTCAATTCTTAACATAACGTCAATATCAGTTTATTGTTGACAAACACACAGAATAATAATCCTTTTTGTTTTGTTGAAAAACTTTTCAAACGTTATAGTTGTATTCCATAAAAATATGATCATTCTTGAGAGTGGGAATGTTGTTTGTTTAACAATAAACATAATCTTGAAACTAGAAAATGGTCAAGTCCTTAATAACTAGAATCCATTTTTGCCATAAACGTGGGAGAATTTTACCGTTATAGAAATGTTTAATAGTACATCAAACTGTTATTCTCAGTTAGGTGCTGTGAGAAGTTATTTGTTTTGTGAGATTTTATTGTTTTCTGTGTAGTTCTAATCTATTCATACGCAAATATAGAAGAATAATTAATTTGTTATCAAATAATGTATGCAAAATTAATTGAAAAAATTAATTTGCATTGAAACTTTAGGTTTTGAATATATGTATTAATTTTATGGTGGTGCCATTCTAAGAAAGAGAAATACATTTACTTTTCTACAGATTATGGCAGATACAGATAACACTGATAAAATTGGAAACCACAAATAAAATTATTCTACTAAACTATTTGGTTTCTCTTGCCTATGCTTTTAATATATTACTGATCTTTTCTTTAGTCAGGTTGAAAACAAAATGATGGAAAACTAGAATATATAGGTTTTTGGTCTACTATTATAAATTTATTTATGCTTATTAACACCATCGCATTCACCATTTTTATAAAAACATTTACATTCCACTCTAAATGTCATTTTATTGGTATACATTTACGTGCAAAATAAGGAAAACTAGATATAAAATTATCAAAATTATAAGTGATAGAAGTGATAAATCAATAATATGTCACTCGATGTACTTTACACCAGCGGCAGCTTGTGACATTGTGAATAGGTGAGATCCGTGGCCTTTTTTAGGGTGGGCAAGAAAGAAAAAAAAGCGCCGCAGGCAAAAATTTATAAATTTTCAAGGTCAAACGACTAAATGCATCTGGAAATTTTTAGTTGCACTTACAGTATTATAGAAAATTCACGAGCAGAATTTTCATTCAGATTTTAAAAAAATAATACGCTACTACTTGGATATTTTATTAATCTGCTCTCAAATAATAAATAGGAATAAATTTCCACGTAATTTTTTATTATGGAGATCTTCGCCAATAGCCCTACTGTAACCATAAATTAAAAAATATATTAATAATAATATCGGAACATTTTATTTACAATAAAATTAAGTAAAAGAAAAAAAAACAAAGTGATATATTTACCTAATAATTAACAAAATTGTTCCTACTTGGTTTATGAATATTAAAAAAATATGAAAAATATAAAAACATATTTTCATGAGCTAGCCAGCCTTATCTATTTACATATAAAACAACGCTACCAGTTTTTCGGTTGTCTGCAAAACAATTTGTATGTTTCCGAAAATACCATTTTAAATTCCTTGTATAATATTTCTATAGTTTTTTGAACTTCTAAATTACGAAATTTTTCGTCTCTGTACAAAATATTAAGTTCGTTTTTCAACCTATCTATTTCAAAAACGTTTGGATACATTTTATAATAAACATTTAAATGATTTTTCTGGAAATTTGTTTGCATGTTCGGGAAATTCTTTGGAATAAAGCAAAAAAATTTAAATCATGTAAATTCCCAAAACGAGTAGGTACTTAATTAAAGGGAAATATATTTCGAAAATATTTCTAATTCGTCGCAACTTTTGCTCCGTTTACTTGGTAGTCCAGTAATATTTTTCGTATAATTAAAAATATTTTTAAATTTTTCTTTGTTTCTTAATAAATCAGAAATTCTTTGACTACTGATTTTAATTTGTTTAGAGCAGTAGTTTACGTCTTGAAAAAGGTGTTTCAAGAGATAAAACAATTTTGTGAGATAGATTCATTATTAGTTACCTATGTAAGTTTTTGATAATATAATAAGTATCTATTAAATTACGTTAAATTTAGTCTTCCTTTGTTTTGTTGTAAGGAAGTTGTTTTTTATTTACTTTAAATTAATACCTGCCTTGTCCTTAAAGCCTTTGTACTATTCCTCACACTGATATTAGACATTACCTCAGTCTCAGTTCCCTCGTAATTCACGTTATTTTAACCGCCTCGCGTAGAGGGGGAACTGTAGCATATTGTAGGCAAGTGTGACGCGCCTACAAGCAAAGAAATTCTGGCCTCACTGCGGTGGGGACTGGTGGGGAGTAACAGTGTCCAATGCCGCCCCGATAGAAACGGCAATCGGCGAGATATTCAATATTCAAACAGTTGTTTTATACTGTTATTTTGATTTTTGATAAAAATAATAGTTAATTGGAAATTAGTTTACCTAACTGTTTATTTTGGTTAATAGTAGAATAGTAGGTGTTAAAATATACGGTGTGAGAACCAAATTTTACAATGAGGCCTCAGTTGCTTCATACGACGAGCCGCCACTGCTTTACATAATAAATATAAACAGTACAAATGTAATACTGTATATTTTCACTATGCTTTTGAATTTGATCCATTATGTTATCTTGGATACCCGCCTGATCTGCCTAAATTTCTAGATAATGACCGCAAATAAGATAATGAGGGTCATGCCGACTTGCCCATTTTCTCCCGACCTTGCTCACGCGAAACACCCGACATTACGTCACCTTGCTCGTCAAGTCATCATGGTGACCGATTTGAAGCGCAACCGCGCCGTCGACTGCACCGTTCTATCGCCGGGTGTGCATCGTACACAGCACGCGCCTCCGGTATTGATTACCGCGACTCGGGCCGCATCCATTGAGAAGCGTCGTCGTCGTCGTCGTCAAGCGACTTGGCGTCCTAACGGGACGTCGGTACCTTACCGAAATAGAACTAAATCGTTTTGTTTCGTTTGGGAATTGGTATTCAGTTCGCCGGAGGCGATAAGTGAGTGTGCAGTCGACTCCTGCGGTATTTCGTTATCAGTTCGAGAGAGAAAAGTGAGTATACTTTCATATCCGCTAATTGACTTTGGGCGTATATAAAAAGTACGGTTTCCAAAGAGGATTTGCATGTTTCAAGTCTGGCATCACTTTTTGATAATGATAAATATGTCGCGTGTAACTGGATTTAACTGTCTCTCCCCAACGTATTGATCCCTTAGATTCTAAAGGGTGACTAAGCGCATTTGTTTTCCGTCTTCATCCACAATTCCAGTCACCAATTTTAGTGTTTAAGGACCATTTTAAACTCACCTTTAGAGTCTGTTACGCTTATCATTTCAGGCACACAAATCGTATTGAAGTTAATAAATACTTTTATTATCAAATTAATCTATATTATTCCATTCCATTTTTATAATACTTTGTGAAAAATATTCTAGGTTAAATAACATGCTCGTGCGTAGTGCGGTTTAGATAGATCGACGCAGTTTTTAAATCATCGAATGAAAATGATGATAACGACAGTGAGTAGATTTTTTATTATCTGGGGACTCACAGAATGGTAGGTACTTGAATTTTTCAGTACGAGTAACCATATTTAATTAAATATACGGGTGATTAAGTCATTAATTTTAACCAGTTGGTTTCAAAATCAAAGTGCAGTCGTTCCCAACTTAACAAAGTGTTATGACTGTTATGGAAGGATGAGTGAATGTTTTTTTAGCCACATACAATAAAGTATACGTACTACGAACTGAATAATTAACTGAACACTCAACATAATACTAAAAGCTCATATTCAGTCATAAAACATAGTGAAAACGCACAACTAAATTGCAATAACCTAACATTCGAAAACAAGTATTGCCCTTATACATTTGTTTTAATTAACAAATAAATAATACTTGTTAATAAACTAATGCAATAAATTAAAGACTCCGAAATTTTTTCGTGATTTTTGACTGTATTTAGATGAAAAATTGTTGTATCGGGAATTAAAAAAAAGCATTTTGAAACTCTAAGATTCTACTTTTTAGATGTTTCGGTCGAAATTTTTTAGGAGCTACGGTTATGCAATTCTAAAAAAATAGTGCGACAAAAAATTTTTGCAAATTTGTCATTGCGCGGACTTGTCTATTCAGCTTCAATATATGTACTTTTTTTTAAAGGACCCCGCAATAATCTTATGGAAATTGGGTTTCTGTCAAATTGTCTGAATTTTTGATATGTTGTAGATTTTGTCATCCTGAACAAAAGTCTCCATGGGCACAAAGTGCCAAAATGAACATTTTGGCAGCTACGGAGCTGCCAAAGCTCCCCTGACCCGTTGCAAAACTATTCATTTTCAATACTATTTACAGATGTCAAAAGCATATTTTAATTATTCTAATATATAGGGTAATGTTTTTGAGGTCACTGGATTCAACCCTCATGTCAGATTGGACAAATTGACCGTTGACAGCTGTCAATACACTGTCAACGAAGAATAGAAAAGTAAATATTCTCTTTTCACATTGAGAGTTTGGGCTTTTGAGGGAGCTGAATTCAATTCTCATGCCAGATTGGCAAAATTGACAGTTGACAGCTGTCAATTGACTGTCAACGAGGAATATAAAAGTAAATATCCTCTTTTCAAATTGAGAGTTTGGGCTTTTGAGGGAGCTGAATTCAATTCTAATCTCAGATTGGAAAAATTGACAGTTGACAGCTGTCAATTCACTGTCAACGAAGAATAGAGAAGTAAATATTCTCTGTTGACATTGAGAGTTTGGGTTCTTGAGGTCGCTGAATTCAATTCTCATGCCAGATTGGAAAAATTGACAGTTGACAGCTGTCAATTCACTGTCAAAGTAGAATAAAGAAGAAAATATTATCTTTTGTTATTGGGAGTTTGTCAACTACCATTTTCTCCAATTCTAAAAAGAATTGAATTTAGCGAGTTGGCCAACATAAACTCTCAATGTAAAAAGAGGATATTTACTTTTATATTCCTCGTTGACAGTCAATTGACAGCTGTCAACTGTCAATTTTGCCAATCTGGCATGAGAATTGAATTCAGCTCCCTCAAAAGCCCAAACTCTCAATGTGAAAAGAGAATATTTACTTTTCTATTCTTCGTTGACAGTGTATTGACAGCTGTCAACGGTCAATTTGTCCAATCTGACATGAGGGTTGAATCCAGTGACCTCAAAAACATTACCCTATATATTAGAATAATTAAAATATGCTTTTGACATCTGTAAATAGTATTGAAAATGAATAGTTTTGCAACGGGTCAGGGGAGCTTTGGCAGCTCCGTAGCTGCCAAAATGTTCATTTTGGCACTTTGTGCCCATGGAGACTTTTGTTCAGGATGACAAAATCTACAACATATCAAAAATTCAGACAATTTGACAGAAACCTAATTTCCATAAGATTATTGCGGGGTCCTTTCGATACGATCATTTTTCATCGATATATCGGACTTTTAATGGAAAAGGATCTTTTTGTCTTCAATCATCGATATCTCGGCAACGAATGGTCGTACAGAGAATTGAAGGGCAGTTTCGAAAACTGAAATAAACTTCCTATAACATGCTGGCGCATGTCTAAATACAGTCTGTCAAAAATCACGGAAAAATTTCGGAAATTCTTTTGACCCTTTAAAAAATGTAAAATAATATCTTATTAATTCATGTGTCTAGGCAAAAAAAGTATGTCGTTCACTATTAAAAACACAAGAAAAGCTAGATTAGTGACCGAATACGATATGTCAAGATTCACACAGCGGTTAGGAGCAGTCCTAAAAGTTGTTTAAATAATGATTTGAATTTTTGTACTCTACTCATTTTTCACTATATTCCCTTAAAATTAATGGCATTATGACTCAATCACCCTGTATAATGAGGAAAATAAATACCCTACCTAATTTTCTTTGTTTGTCATATTTTGTTGGAATTTTTCAAATTTTTATTAAACCTCTTTCACATGCGTTAGTTTTTGACCCAATAAATAGACTAAGAAATTGACAAAGTTCTATCGGAACATACAAAATAAATTTTCTAATTTCCATAAATTCTCCAAGAAATTGAAGACAATACAACTAGTCCTAATTAGTTGGCAAATTATAAAATTTTTTGACAGTTTCTTGGGTCAACAATTGGTAAGTAAAACATGTAGCACTGTAGACTGACTTATAATACCAATAATAAATCAGTTGTTTCTACAGGAAGTTAATCATTTAAGTTTTAGTCAGGCAATCATTAGTATAATAATAATGATAATAGCAGTGGTAATGAAAATGAGAATGACAATGACAACGACATCGACAATGGCAATGACAATCGCAATGACAGTGGCAATTTATTTTACTGCTACTAAATTTGCTCAAATTCTTCAACTGTTTTGTTAAGTACAACCACCTACATTCTAGTAACTGTACTTTTCCTTTTCAACAACATAATTGAACCATGCGACCATTATTTACACTAGAAATTCAAGTCTTTCTAACATACTGATAATTATGTGTGATCAGTTCTTGTTTATTTATTATTACTAATAATAAATATAAGCAATGCCCTGCTGTTATCTGAGGCTTTTGTTTGTTTATAGTTCATTCGTGGAATAAATTAATAAATTGTGAAATGTGAGCTCGTAGTCTACATTTCCCTAGAGCTTTCCTTAAATAACTATACGAATTTTTGTTATTTTTAATAAATTGTTTATTGCAGAAATTAAAACTGGCAATATGTAGTACCAAATTACGGAAAAGTCAGATTAGATAAGATAGTCAGATAGCAGTAACAAATAAAAGTATATCAGGCAATACCAAGAAATGCAGGTTACCTGTATTCTTGTTGACTGTATCAATCGTGCCTCGATAAGAGCGTTAGTTGATTGAATCTATTATCTTGTGTATATTTAAAGATAATTACAGGAGGAAAAGTGCTTTTAGTTGTAAAGTTCACTATATAATTTTTGGTAAAGTACTGGAACACTGTACATACAATGAAAAATGGTTATACAGTTTTAGAATTATGAATGTTGAAAGTTTGATAAAATTCAGTTTCAGACTACATGAAATCTGTTTTATTTCAAATAAAAACTACCTACTAGTAGATTTCAACTTATTTTGCAACGCTTCGTGTACTTGATTAAATAGCTATACCATAACATGTTTTTTCACAAGCAGAAGCAGGAGAAACTTATATTTAAATCAAAGAAAATTTCTATTTCCGTGATAATTAAGAACAACAACTCGCCTCAAACGCATCTATACTTATATTAATTACTCATTAACAAGTTTTAATGCACGTAATGATTTTATTATTATTACTATTGCCGCTTCTTTACACACACTGCACGCGTGTGATGGCAATTGCATATTTATTTCATTATTTTCAACGTCCGTACGCATTTTAAGTTTATCGCTGACACACATCTTGGGGAAGGATTATTTGCCACAGAAACTTAATTTAATAGAAAAAGTCGTTAATAACTTTTAATGAGCCGGTTGATGTTTTTCGTAATTTTTACGGTCACTTAAAATCAAATTAAGTTAACCAACAGTTGATAGATGGTCGCAAGAGTGCGAAATTAGCGGTATGTGGAAAAAGGAACTTGTGATAAAATAAATAATAAACCCAAAAGCTAGTAGTTTAATTTTTCAAATAATGTTTTATTTTTTACCCATCTTTCATTTAATTGGAAGGCAGGGAACCATAAATAAAACGAACTATCGATTCGTCTATTTTCATCATTACATTTATTTGAAGACGACTAACCAACTCTTTTTATTATGGTTCTTTGTTCCCAGCTAAAAGAATGAAGATCGTAAATATTCAGCGACGAAGATTTTCTAGTATTAGTTATTATTTATGCATTGGTTGTTTTATATTATAACTTGGAATTTTGAGTGAAAAAAAAAACACGTTTTCAAAGAATTTTTCGCGAATAACTACGCATTTTATTTAAAAATGTGTAATGAACAAAAATGTAGCTTATAAATAAGCAAAGAAAATCGTTTTTTTAAAAAGTGTTGTACGTCCTATACAAAGTGAAATATAAATACTTGAATCGATATATTCAACGTCAAATAACAGGAAAAGGATTAATTTTACGTTTATAACGCTCCAGGAGTTTTTTGTAGTACTCAAAAAGACCTTCAAAATGAGCACTTATAAAAGTTAATTAGAGCAAAATTGAAGGAGTTATCGTCAAAAACAGATGGGTTGCTCATATTTTTTTAAGGAAAAATGAGCAGTAAACGCTGTACCATTCCCATCAGAATTAAAATTGATTATATTTAAAAATCGATTATGGAATTTTTATTTTAAATTATTGCACAATTATAGCATTCCAAGATTTAAAACGTAATTTCTTATCATTTTTTTAGCACAGGTGTTATTTATAAGGGTTGAAAATTGTTATGAGATACAAATTCTTTCATAAGCAATGAGGGAATTTTTATTTTAAATAATTGCACCGTTAAAGCATTCCGAGCTTTTAAAAAGTAATTTTTTATCATTTTTGTCAATACAGGGGTGGTTTTTAGGGGTTGAAAGGGAAAAATTATTTTATTAGCTATAAGGTAACTTTTATTTTAAATAATGCACCATTTAATCATCCCACATCTTAAAAAAGTAATTTTTTATAATTATTTTTTGCATAGGGGTAGTTTTTAAGGGTTAAATAAAGGGTCGAAAAGATCAAATATAGCATAAAACATGGAACATTATTTAATCTTTGTGCTTAAACAAGATTTGTATCGATAAAGTGCTTAAAACTTAATTTTTCAATTTTTTCACTTAGGGGTAGTTTTTACCCCCAAAAAACACAAAGCGTCAATCGGGCTTATGTCACGTTTGAACTTGAGCCTAAGATAAGCCTTATTCTAAATTTTCATGCAAATCCATGCAGTTTCAAAGAATTCGGTGGTTACAGCTGATTTTCAGCTTCATTGACTCTACTATTAACCTTTATTGATTCACAAAGCCATTTATTTGACAGTTAAAATGACACAAGTAAAAATTCTTTGTGGAATGACATGGGTGACAATTTGGATATAATACTATGCATTTAGTTTTGTCAATTTTTGTTTATAGCTTATAAATTTTGCAAGAAATTGGTACACGCCCATAAAAGGTAATAATTTCTTATAAAAAAATAAAACGCTTTAGTATTTTATCAAGTTTTATTGACAAAACAATCATCATATCTTTTGTGGGTGAACAGAATTAGTTTCCCCAATTTTTTCTCATTCATTGTAAGCAATTCAGGAAATTTAATAAGTTGAAATTTTATTCCAGGTCACTACTTAATGGCTGACAACAATCATGCGGAAGAAGCCAAAGAAGATTCTAACCAAAGAGGGAAAGGTGATGACGTAAACCACTCACGGCAAAAACCCAGCGTTTGCAGAAGATTGGACTTTGGAAGTGATCATGAGAAAGAATTAAATAACCTACTGTCCCTGTCGAATGAGGATTTAGAACGGCACAGACATAAAGCCATAGAAAAATGGAATTTCGATTTCGAGAATGAGGTTCCACTGGATGGGGACTGGCAATGGGAAAAAGTGCCAGTTCAGCCATCTGAAGTAAAAGAAGTAATATGTACGTTGGAAAAAGAACGTCACGAAAACAGAACTGTTTAAATTGTAATAGGAACATAATGGATTGTCAAATTAAGTATATGAGTTGTTCGTACATAAAGTGGATAAAAAACAGAAGAAAAAAATTACGGAAATGTAAAACAACATATTTAAAAAACGTGATTGTTTGCCTTTTCTGTTTAAAGGAAAATAATATCAAGAAAGCATACAATATAGTTTATTAATTTTTGGCCAAAGTAAGCAAAGCTGACGTTACCAATTCACCCATGAAGAATTTTAAGTTAATTTACACGATTTCTATTCCTTTTATATATTCTTATTTATTATTTATAACATTAATCATTAAAAATAAATTGAGCTGAAATTGGTATATATTTTGATTATATAAAAATTTTAAGTGTTTGTCTGGAATCAAAAAGTGACAAGTTTGAGAGTTACAGCATGTATGAGGGGGTATGTTTATCGCAGACTGATTATTATAAACATTTTACTTTTTGTTTAAACTATAAAGAACCTACTTGATGTATGTAATGTACCTACCGTTTCTATCCCTATAATGAATTTTTGAATAGCATTTTTTAAGTCGATTTGTTTTTTTAATGTGAACAGTTGTATACAAATTATAATTACATGGTCCAAATTTCGAAATTTGCTTAATTTTAAGTAAATAAGGCCAGTTTCACACGTTTGCAATAATTTATCTAGTCGGGGTAGTGTAATTTTAAATTATTTTTCATATATTATTTAATGTATTTTTTAGGGTTATCTTTAACCCAAAAAACGGCTAATATACCAAAAAAGTTGTAAATACTAGATTACTAAGAATATTCTATATAATGTAAAAATGTGTAATAAACAGCATTTATCTGGAAGATTAGTATTTATTTGTTCTATAAGGAAAACTTTCTTAAATAAATAATTAACTTACAAGGTGTTTTCAAGGATTATGACTGTTGATGTGACAATAGACAAGCGCACAACAAATGTCTGGGTTCAGTTGTTTTTCTAAAAAGTGTTAACCGGCCATTGTGACTCTTTCTGCTTCGTCGGCACTGCTTTGTTCTACTTCCGTGGAGTTTGTGAATAACTAGTGAACATTTCACTGAAGACTTGATTAAAACTTTGCCCTTTGTCCATAAGATTGATTACTACAGAAAATCTCAATGTAAAGCAAACTGCCTATTTTTGAGCTAGCTCCAAATAATCTAAATAAAGGCTTTTAGCAAAAAGCGAACCGTTTGTCTTCATCGTTATGTAAGCTTGTGCCTACATAATGATGCACACAATCTTAATAAATTGAATTTCGCCTGCTGAAGTGGACCTAAATCAATTTACTCTTTAAAAAGCATGTGCCTGATGTAATCGTTGCAAAATGAGACATATGCGCTTTATATTAAATTACAGTATCAAGACTTTCCTGCCCCCACAAATTTATAACTCAATATAGGTACGTATATAAAAATTGTTTCAATAATTTTCCTTAATCCCGAAAAAAGTTCTATTCGTTTGTTAAACTACATGTTAAAATATCTTCTTGTTTCAAAATTTTAGCGCCTCAGGAAAGATCAGGCAACTTCCATAGTTTAACATTTTTGTCAGTTGAACGCAAAATATAGGAAAACTCATTGAATACAGTTACCACTCTGATAAGATGAAAACTTTTTTGGAACCGCTGATCTCACTTATGGCTCTGCCTCCATCTGCAAGCAATAAGAATCTAGAAGATAAATTGTTTCTCTTAAACATTTGTTCACTAATAATTTTCATAATAAAGGACGCGTGAATACTAAATAGACCAGGGCGGATCTGTTTTGAGGTGGATGGGCAAGCAAATTTTTTCTGGATTACCTTCAGTACAACTCACATAATAAAAGTGTGGATCCTAGATCTGAACATTTTCAACATTGCAAAACATTTCAAAAATTTAAAAAATACCTATTTTATCTGNTAAATATGAAAACATATATACTACGTACAAAGAGATTAGGGCATTAAAAACAGTGTTTTGTACTAAAAACAAACGTATTAAAGCTAGGCAAACAATATATAGTGTACGATAAAGTTACTGGTAAACAGAATTAAATGAAATGTGTAATCTAATCAAAGTTTTTGACTCTTTAGGTGAAATAATTAAAACAAACACGGTAAAATGGCGCGTATAGTGTATCCCCGCAACAAAAAGCAAGTGTAATACAAAAACACATAGAAACAGTTGCCACATAAGTACAGAATATTCCGAAAATGTACTACTAAAGAAAATTTTTTTGTGGCTGGGCGCAGGCGTGCCCCGATCGGAGTGATGTTAGCGTATTGTATAATTTATTCTTTAATTCTGTAGATATTGTATTTTTAATGAACGAACACAGTATTTAAACGTTTTTGACATAATTTAAATTTTTTTCATTTTTTCCATTTTGCATTTTGAACGATTTTTCATGACTATATTTCCGTCCTGAGGGCATCCGCTATCGCTGACGTGTGCCATTCGCCCACAGCACTCAAACGCAAGTTTTATCGATTGGCGGGCGCTTCGCGGTGGCCGTCAGCGGTCCGTGTGACTGATGAGGTCGAAGCGCGACGACGACAGTCCACAGTCGCCACACCGTAGGGTAAAATATACAGTATATTTAATACAATACATAAATAATAAACTTTGTTTATAACAAAATATGTGCAAATTAGACAGTTGGCATTACGATATTCGAATTCCTTGGGTCGCGAGACATCGGAATAAAAAAAAAGATCGAAATTGGTCCATCAGAAGCCAAGATAATGCAATTTTTTCGTACCTTCGCATTTTGAACCTGCGAATTCAGTCTCGGAGCGAAAGCCCCCTCTCCCACTTTCGTGTTTTGAGTCACTTTTCGCGCGTGCGAGTAACAGCTTTTCCGCTGATTTATCTATGTTGCCAATAACTTATGGATATGAAAATTTTTTCCAGCTTAGAACTCGGAAAAACGAAGCCACTGGATCAAAGATTATTCCTAAATTGTTTATAAATTAACGGTAAATGCCGATAAACTTTAACCGCTTATATCTCGAGAACCAATGAACGGAGTTTAACTTTTTTTTTTAAAGAAGCGTCTTTCTGAGTACTTTAAAATTATAATTTTTCAAAAAAAACTGAATTGCAAGTTGATAAATGTAATCTAATTGTTTAAAAATAAACAAGAGAGTAACTAAAAATTTACTGTTTCTGTCCTAATCAACCGATTTCAATTTTTCAAAAACCATTTGAAAGGTTGAGCGGTCCTTTCTATGTGAAAAAATTTTCAAGTATGTAGATGCTTTATTTCATGCTATGCAACATTTTGAAAATTCGAAATTTTTTTTTTTAATTTTAAAAAAATTATTTTGCGAAAACTATAGCACCAATTTTAATGAAATTAGGTGTGTTGTTTTATAATACTCTAAAGTTTTTTTTAGAATTAAAATGTCCTCGGACCAATTAAAATATTAAAAAAATATATATAAAGAACTTGATTATTTTGCCTTTTTTCATCAATTATCAATTATTGCTATTTTTGCAATATTGGTAATAAATTTAAACAATTTTAACTTCCAGTATATTGTGCAAAATTCAATTCTAAAACTTTTTGCCCTCTTCAATATTCTTCCAAAATGCATAGGTTCTAAGATATAAGTAAAAAACTAAAAATAGGTATTTTTTAGAATTTTTAAACATTTTTGTAATTTTGAAAATGTTTCGGACCTCGCCAAGATCTAGGGATCTACACTTTTATTATGTGAGTTTTACTGAAGGTATTCCACCAAAATTTGCCTTGCCCCCCCTTATATCCAAGAAGTGGGATATTTCGACAGATCCGAAAAAATTATTTCCATTTGACAATTGAATTCGACTTGGATATCGACAATTTTGTAGTTTCTGAGATACCATTTCACTCTGTACATGTTCTCTTTACCTTCAAAAGAAAAAAAATCTTCTATCGTATTTCCTTTCCAGTAACATAATGACAAGTAAACTTACTGGCTGGAAAGATAATGGTCTTCCGATATACATGTGACAATCATTGTAGGAAACATCATGTCAATATTAATAATAACACACCTACACCACATATTACTAACATGTGCCTAGGCGAAAAACCCAAAAAGAAATATGTAGGCCAAGCCGGAAAGAATATGTTTTACATTAGCGATGTCCTACAAAAATACACTGATAAGGGGTCCGCTAGATAACAAAGGTTATTTCGAATTCAAGCGTACTACGTTTAGGCGTGGACTGTGGATAATTTTTGCGAGATATGGCCATCACATTGCATAAGACAGGAAGCGTGTGTTTGGGAAATAAACTGGTTGGAAGTGGTCATCGTTCCAAATAAAATAAGTAGGTACCAAATTGCAATAAATTTTAAAAAATGGGAAGAACTGGAAATATTGTCACAAATAAATATTCTGGTCTGCTCCAGTAAACACGCTTAAAATATTTATTATTTTTCTCTAAAAAACAGACGCTTTAGAAGCCGTTTCTTATCGTTATCTATGCCTTCATTAGTTGAAACGAGCTGTTCCAGTCCACAATAAGCTTACATTATTTTTTATTGCTCATAATTGAGACCGTATTTAAACTCGGACTGAGGTTAACTGGAAGTAATTACCTATATTATACCTATAAAATGTCCATGCTCTTAATAAACCAGCATTAGAAATAAAGTGGATTAAATAATAGCCTACAAAGCAGTGTGCATAGCAAATTGGCAAAAACCCAGCAAGCCGTTTCCTATACCAGGTACAGACTTTTTTCTGGGAATGATGCATGAATGAAATTATGTCTGAAATTCTACTGAACTGAATCTTAAAAAGTCATTCAACCATCCCTAAAAAAGGCATAACTAAAAAGCCAATTTAAATTTAGTTTTGCGATATAAAACCACTTACGTATTCACTCACGTTTTTATTATTTTGGAATACTGTAGCATAAGGTATATTGTGAAGATATTTTATTAACGTGCAGCCCAAATATTAAATTTGGGCAGCAGATCTGTGATTGGGTTTGCAAAAAAGGAAACCACCACCTGAATGGAGAAGACATCTATTCTAACAGTTAATAATTTAAGATTATAAATAACTTTTTTAAGTATCTTCATTGTTTTATTACTTTTCTGAAAGCGCCATAAAAAATAGGTGAACTTTATTAAAGGTTCTGCATACCTAGGACTTATTGTTTGTGAGATATCTCAATTTTAGTGAAAATACAAGCTTAGCGTAGAATTTTAATATTAGCAATAATAAAAAAATTTAAATGTGACACCCAGTATATTTTTACTTTGGAAGTTAGGAAATTTAAAACTCTTTCAAACTGTTATAGGTTGCCTTACCTATCTCTAACGATATTGAAGATATTTGTGCCGTTTCGTTTTGTATCGAATTTTTTTGTAAGATGTATCCACATGTCTTCATCGAGGTCTTTATTGAATTGCTTTGGGTTCTTCTTGGGTTCTGAAAAAAAATGAGGATGCAATTAAATCACGCACTTTCAAATTTTTAAATATTGTCATGATTGACGCTTTACCAATTCCATAAAGACCTCGATAAAGACACATGATACATCTTACAAAAAAATTCTATAAAAAAACGAAACGGCACAAATATCTCCAATACCGTTAGAGATATGTATGGGGAACCTATATACAGTTTGAAAGAGTTCCAAAGTAAAAATATACTGGGTGTCCCATTTAAAATAACCAAGTTATTGCTGTTTAAAGTTTAGAGAAGTATTCAGCAGTTTTTTGAATACCCTGTATAATACTAGGTGACGACAAATATAATAATTTATAACTTCAAGGATCTAAAATGCACTCTCCAAAGCTTCTTCCTTAAAATTATTTTTTTATTGGTAATATTAAATTTC